GTTGCAACCCAACCAAAATGGGACACTTGTTCTTCTTTGATTGGTCAAAAGTAATTTTTTCTTTAAAAAAAATAAAAAATAAATACTAAAATTTATATTTTTTAATTCTCTACAAATAGAGACTACACATGATATATTTTGGCACACAATTGAATTTTTTAGATAAAATAAAATAAAATAAATATTTAGGTTGAGTTGGGTTAGAGATAAAGATAAATTTAATTGTAAGGTTGGATTGTATAAGTGGAGGAGATAGAAATAATTTTTAATTATTAAGTTTGGTTGGGTTGGCGATAAAGCATTTGAACCAACTTGCAGTTGACCCAACATTGACATGGTCACTCCATTGACGTGGTAATATTATTTTTATTATTATTTTTTTTAAAAAAAAAAGTATAAATTTTTAGTATCAAAATGATTGCATTTATTTGTGTGTTAATATTCATGATGATAAATAATAATTAAATATATATATATATACAATTTATTGGTACATTATTTATTTTTTATATTTATTTATGTCTATATGAAAATACACCACATATATTTTCCCAACTTTAAGAATTAACACTATTTTTGAGGTGGATTTAGAAGCTTCTCCATATGTTCAATATAACTTGATCCTCTGTTACGCTTTTTATGAATAATTTGCAATGCAATTGTAACATATTATTTTACATGATATTCAATAATCCTGATGTAAACGCGTTGGAAGCCTCGACGGATCTACTTTACATAGAGTCATTACACGAAACGTCGAAACGAAATGAGTTGCTGGCGAGCTCAGCTCGACTTGTGAAGGTTTGAAAATATAATTTTTATATATTTTTCTATAATTCATCTCGTTAAAACTCGAGTTTGGCTTGTTAATATTAATGAAGAAGTCGAGCTCAAGCTCGATTGATAGCATGTTAATTACTTGAGCTCAACTCAACTCTACTCTTACACCCATGTCTCTATACAAAACATAATTTATCAATTATATTATAGTTATCTATTTAAAAAACATTACCTAAAAAGAATGTCATCCAACTATCCACTAGTTTTATTTAGAAAGCATAAGTGAACTAAAACTCATTATGTAAAATACACAAAACAGCATGCATGAAGACATCAAAGCCAAGTTCTTAATGTAATGTATTTATTCTTATCATTTTTCTTTCTCCTTTTTGTTTTCCTCAATTGCTACTAGCCCAATACCAATTGGGTTGGTTTGAAGTGTTCTCATCTTACCATGGCCTGTACGACTGAGATTTTGGGCCAATTATTAAGTAATAGGCCCATTTGATCCACTAATATCTTTTGATGGCTCCATTTTCAAATATTGACATTTTCCTTAATATAGATATGTAATAGAGAGATTCTATGGTTACGGAAAGGGTATGTAAGTCCAGTTCCTTCGGAATCGCTAGTCAATCTTATTTTCGATAGGGCTAGTCGACAATTGAATTCGATTTTGACCATTATTTTCATATTCCTAATAGTGCGAAAAGAAGGCTCGACTCTAAGTTGTTCAAGAATAGTGGCGTTGAGTCTCTCGACCCTTTGACTTAAGATTATAAAAACAAAATATCTCTATTTTCTGAATGCCAGGACTTGGCTTTTATGA